CGACCGGGAAACGGTCGGACCTCCAAGATATCGAGAGACCTTTCTGTAAGAATTACAGGTCTACTTCGATACGAAAGATCAGACTCCGAGAGAGTCACATCGCAGAAGCGCCACCGAAGTGAAAGCAGTTGGAAAAGGGCGTCTTCAGGGATTTATGTTGAATTAGCTGAAAGCGATTGTTGTCATATATATATATATAGAAGAAACTATGTTATATATCTATATATTTCTCTCTCTGTTTATCTATCTGGCTATCTATCTATGTGCGTGGGTGTGCATGCATGCACGTATGTATGTATGTATGTATGTATGTATGTATGTGTATGCATGTGTGCATAACTTGTTTTTGCACCGACCTTTCACACGGGGGCAGCTGACACATCTTGGGTCAGAGTTCAAGTTATGTAGGTGCATGACCGAATCGTCCTTTGCGTCATATATCCTGTCGCACGGTTCGAGCTTCGATTCGCTGCACAAGGCCGAGACACAATGAAGCTGTGAAGCCCATGCATTTAGCTTTGTTTTGCATGACGTGCCAGCAGCAAGATTTATCAAGGTTGGAAGCGACATGCACCCAAGCGAGCAAGCATGCCAGCCTGCCAACAAGCTCGCCTGCCCGCCCGTACAGAGGGACCCGACAAAACATATTTGCGTCGGCTAGCGCCTCGTGTGTCAATTAACAGCGCTCATGCCGTTATCTTCAGCATCTTGAAGTTTACCGTTTTTCCCCTTCAAGAGTATTTTGCTGGCCTCCTTGCGACATGCCTTCCATCATCGTCAAACGCTGAAAAGCTGATGCTAGACGGTGGGACTGCGCACATTCGCAGCCTCAACCTGACTAGTCCCCATGACCCCATGACCATTGCCGGCCATGGCAGGTTCAAGCAGATCGAGAGAATACGCCGCAAAGCCCCGGTGCTGCTGGTTGTGGACGACGAGGCAGGATGTGACTCAGTCCCACCTTTTCGCACCCGAACGCAGCAGACAAACACCGGGACAATCCTTCGGATCAACGCAAAACGTCTTGGCTCGCTTGGCACAACATCAGCAGCCACCAGAAATCTTCGAATGTTCCGATACGTCTGCAAGCGAGTAGTTTGCCGCTTCGGAGGTGAGTGTTTAAGCTTACTCAAGAAACACTGGACTCCTTGGTGTTGCCCAGCGCTCCTTTCCTTTTGTCTGAATGTTGGGATGACCCTTTCATGGATGTCTACAGTGTACCTGTCCCTCGACCCGCATTTTCGACACTATCTGGTATGTCGTTTATGGTTATCCTTGCGCAGCAGACTGTCTAGCAACGGATTTGATGTTTGATCAGAGCAAAAGAGAGGCTTTCGCAGAGCTTTCGAAGAAGAGTACTGAAGGAAGGCTTTGCAGATTCCACTCACTGCTCTACGGTTTTCATCGCATTTGAGAACTGGCAGCTTTTCCCGCAGAATAGACACTGAGATCCGGTTCTTACATGTTGCCACTCAGCGTGGAGGTGGGTGCCTTCGCCAGCAGCGCTGCTGTTCGCAAGCTGTTTGGGGAGTTGTTGGAGCACACGTGCTTGCCTCGGGCGACGGTCAGTCAGGTTGCAAGCAGAGTGTCGGTGGACTCTGACCAGGGGCACATCGTAAGAACAGAACAGGTGCCATCTTCACCTCCTCGTCCTTTCGCGGACACCCATCTACAGCTCGCTCGGGCCAAGCAAGGCACTTCCTGGCGAGAGTAATCGTAATGTCGCAACAGTGCGTCGTCCACATGAGCCGCTATTGCACGAAATTTCGCTTCTTTCTAGCCGAAGATGAGTTCTGACTGGGGCACCTTGGTGGCAAACAGGCTGAAACATTTCAGCTGACTAGTACATGTGCAGTACTCGTATGCTTCTTCCGGCAGCTTGCCACAAATCTACAACCACCGCTTGCCTAAAGGAAGGTACACCATGCGTGTTTTTCCCACAAACAGAATAGCCAGCTCAACGTGGCAGCAAGCCAAATGCAGACCCCCTTTCCTGCTTGCTTCTGTGTAGTGCAGCATGGAACAGAGTCACACTGCATGCCCCGTAGTGCCGGCGGCTGAGCATTGAACGCAAGGAGATGAGAAGATGGTCCAAAGCCCTGAGCTTGAGCTGAGTCCGAACATCACGGTGCAAGACGTGTTTGGCAGTGACCATATTCTTGGTCCCGACACGAGCAAAGAGTTATATGGCCCGACCCAAAACAGTAGCCTGAGTCCACAACCATGCCATTCTCCCCAGTTGCCGTGGTCGTCTCGGCTTTGGAGTTTTACTGTTCAGGGTCGCGACCAAGCATATGGTCACTGCCAAACACGTCTTGCACCTCGTGGGAAGAAACAGTTGCCCGGTTTGCCTGCGCACGGGCGAGGTGGACCTTGAGCAAGACGCTTAAGGCTTATAGGAGATCTCGGTTGCGGATCCTTGCCGATGTGGTATCAGCCACCATTAAACAGACAACCTCTTTGAATTGGTCCTCCCCAAGAGCCATGTTTGCTCCGATGGCATGCTGGGCCGCACACACATCAACACACGCGCCTGCGACCGCACCTGCTGTACCCAGCCAAAAATGAGCACATGGCAATGCAGCATGGTCTCTCAAATCTATGTCCGACGGCCTTAGGCGGCCTTGTGCCTGAAGCTTAAGACTCGAACTGAGCTTCCGCAAGCTCACTGACTGCAGTACCTCCTACCGTGGCAACCCAGGCACAAAACTTACATTGGCCACGTAAGCACGGTCTTTCAAATCATTTCAAACCTGTAATGACGGCAGCTTCAAGACTATACGCCAGAAGCTCTAAAATCTAAAATCATCTTTTACTCAGGATCACTGTGGCAACTCTTGGGACATGGGTTTCAGCTCTTCGATTCTTTCAGTGGTGGGCGTTGGCCAACGAGAGCAAAAGGGGGCGCCGAGACTTTTAACGGTTTTAGTCTAGAGGATGTCCTCTGCACAATCCCTCGCCCAAAATGCTGTGTCGAACGCACTGCCTTGTTCTGGGTTCCTATAGAGCTTATCAGCAGTGGTGGTTGGTACAGTGTCTTCGGTGCAAGACTTGACGACCCAAAAATACCGTCAGTTGTGCCCCGTCGTCCCTTCCCACCCCACGCTGGCAGACGCTGAGAAGCGGGGACTGCCCAACAACAACGACACAACGACAGCAACAATAACAACGACAGCAACAACATCGCCCAGCGCAAGAGCGGTAGAAACACCAAGACCGACAGCGACCACGAAAGCGACAAAAACGACGACGACCACGGGGGCAGTGGGGCGGCAGGAGGACGCGGTGGAAAGAAACTAGGCTCCTGGCGCGCCAATCCAGGATTTGCCATAAAGGGTTGGTTCTTTCGTTTGGGGGAATGCGGTATCTCACCTGGAAAGCTGCCCTGATACCGAGAATTAAGCGACCCAGCACTCACCCGTCTCTGCGATGTGCTGTCGAGGAGTGCGTTCTCTATCCACGATGTATAACTACCACTGAGACAAGAAACTGCCACATCTCAGCTTGCGCGAGACGGCTGCAAAAGAAGCTACTAGTCCTCCCGTGATCTCCACTTGAACATGTTGTCCAATCCTAAACGCTTCGGATCCTGCCAACACGACCGGAGCCCAGTGGACCGGCATATTTCGCCAAAAAAGGTCAGGCACTCATGTGCGATAGCTCTGACGAACACAACCCTGGAATCAAGACTGGTCGACACGGCGAGACACAAGCTTGATGAGATAGACGATGTTGGATCGTTAAGCAGGGTGCATGTCTGCAAATGCCTTCATGACATGTAACTGAACTTGAGCGTGCCTCTGTACCTGCGTGGCCTACCGCACACGTCACTTTGAGGCTGACGGGAAACATTTAACATGATCAAGCAACACAAGACATTTTTTTAATCGGTTGCGTTCAACCGACATCAAACTGTCCCGCCTGGCGGCAGCCCCTGCCTGTTAACAATAGCCGTGCTGGGGGTTGTAGCATGTTGAAGCTCAGTGTTAGTTTGGCCTTCGGAGGTGGTGAACGTCGCCCTCCCGGGCTTGGAGGAGTATGATTCTGCAAAGCTTTTCCTGCAGCGCATGCACAGGCCACCGAGGGCTGGGTCGGTGTATGGGGCAAGGCTCGCAGGAGTAGTTAGGGACTGCACTGGCGCTGGTGCAGGACGATATTGTCCGAAAGAACTCTATGACATAAATCTAGAGCTCATGCGTCTCTGGTTGCCTGCCTCGTGCATGCAGGAGGACGGAAACAGTTTGGTATGTCGTTTTCGAACTGGCGAATTTACGATTCAGCTGTCCCGTGAGCACGCAGGAAGTTGGAAGCACGGGACTTCCCGGCAGATCCCATGGGGAGTGCAGATGCAGGCGGAGGAGAGTGGAACTCGGTTGGGATCGGTAATCAAGACTTGCAATTTTAGGCGCAGTTTGTGAGGGGGCCAACACTGCAGGTCACCACATGAGCATCTCAAAAGCGCCAATACAGAGAGTGAAACACATGCTTTGAGGCATTTTGAGGCACATGCATCATTGCACCTCCCTTACGATGACTGCAGCACCCCCGCACTATGCCAGCCACCGCGGTAGCGACCAAGCTGAAGCGCTGTCGGGCCTAAGGCTCCTTCGCCATCGCCTCCCCGGGGAGTGCTGGCAGCAAGCTCAGATGCGACAATTGCGGGTTGCAAAACGATAACCTTTCATGGCCAGAGAAGCAATTAGGAGTTTTGATGTTGCTTTCGTGTCGAGAGATCGCGCCTGCAAGATCCTGATCGGAGGTTGCTCTACTCTGTATTACCCAGCCTTGCCTCAAAGCGGACACCTCCCACGCCCCGAGGTCAGTAAAGGACGGTACGGAGCGCACGTGGCCAGAGATTTCTTGAGCGGCCACCGCTGAGGAAGCAGCAATCCAGAGGTTGAAAGGTCATCCCCTTCTCCATCGCCACTCGCTCAGGCGTGTCAATAGCTTCAGCATTTGCTACTTCATTTGGGACTCTGAATCACGTCGGTCACGCAGTTGCGGGTGGCTTTCGTGGAGTGCTGCCGTGCTTGCGTACACCCTATAGGTGCAGGACAGAAACATCTGCATGTGGCGTGAAGACTCAGAGACTCTTGCTCAGGTCTAGCAGGCCACCCTGGCAACATTCGTGAGGCCTCAGCCTCAGCCCCCGTGCGCAGTTGGACTTTGCATTCGGGGTGTTGAAACAGGGTTCATGCAATGAGCACCAGCGGCGGAGTTCGGAGCCCAAAGGGCAACACAAGCATGGCAGCATCGGTGACAAGCGCTGCCTCAGCCATAAATCCATAGGAGCACTGCAGTAGCTACCCTTTGATTGCTGGCGGAGCGATTGGCTGCAACTTCTGCCTCCTTACTAATGACTTCCGCCAAGCTGCCCACGCTGGCAGCGCACACACTCCGAGTCCGAGGTCGCCTCCCGTGTTGTCCCTGGCGGGCCCAGCCTGATAGATTTGGCGCAGCAGGAGGTCGGGTGACAGTGCTGAGGTATGTGCAGCACAGGCAAAACAAAGAGTGGCAAATGTGCTGGATGGTTTCGGAGAGGTCAGTGTTGTTGGGTGAATATGGCACTGGGAGTCCCTATCGAGATCATCGGGTTAGCTGCTGTGTTCGGAGTGCTCCGTTTTGAGCCATTGCCATGACAAAGAAGTACTCGGCTTATCACATTTTAGTACTCTGCTGAAGAGATCACACGACAAGTGCGTGAGATGTGCTGTTTGTCGCCAGGTTGAACCATAGAGCTGCGTATTGTCGTGATGCATGAGAAAGGCTCAAGGCGCGGCGGGTTGTCATCTGCCAAGGGGCATCGAAGTTCAGACGTTCCAGTTGCAGCAAAGGCCAGGCTACTTCAATGAACAGGTTATGGGTACTGATCGGGTGGAAAGGTCAGACAACACGGCTGGCGAGCACATGTCGTGCTAGATCAGATAGCTGGAATAGAGGAAGAACCTCATAGACCCCGACAAGCTGCTCAACGAGATTGCGGCTCAAATCCCTGAGTGTTTACACCACAGCACGAAAGTTGCGCGCTGCGCATTTCCAATTAGAATCGCTGTTTCACGCGGTCGGGCTTGCGGGCCACTCGACAGGATGCTATACAGGACAGCAGGTAGAAGCATAATCAGCACTTCATGCACTTGAAGCTTTTCTGGTTGCGCAGGTAGGGAGTTGCCGGGAATTGCAGCGTCACAAGATGCCACAAAAGAAGCGGTTCCCAAACTGACGGAACATAACTGTTGCTATGTATTGCACGACGCGCTCCGAGTGTTTGCTGGAGGCTGGGTTCCTCCTTGATCCCGTGTCCGTCCGAGCAGTGGCTCGAGGGGTTTGCGGGCCTCGTGCCCCTCGGGTCCTTGGGAGCCCAAGGACAAGATCCGTTTTCTCGGGCCATGGCGGATCTATGCTGATCTGCCGACGAAGCAGCACCACGGTGGCGGGAGCCCTCGCTTGGGTTTGATGCTACTGTCTGGGGATGTGTTGATGTAGCCACGAGCTGTGGCTCGAGGGGCTTTTCGGGAGCCAAGTCGGGCCTCGTGCCGGTTTCGCTCGATGTCAAGAAGATTGAAGGCTTTTGGGTCTTCCTTGGGTTCTCCCGTAGACCCCGTACTGTAACCTCGTAACGGGGAATCCCGGTGCCTAGCCGCCTTCGCACTGGGCTTAGCGCCAGGGATGACCTATGCCCCTGCGGTGGGTGGGAGGTGGTGGTAGGGTTAGCCCGTTTTCCCCCTCGTGTGCCAAGCTAGCGAGGAGTGAAATAAGAAGAAGGAAGAGGAAGAAGAAGAAGGCGAGGACGGGAAAGCCCGAGTGTCGGGCCGCATCGGCTCCTTGCCGAAAGTCACAGGTTGACCTGTAAGTCCCAACCCCGGCGGCCTCCTGAGGAGGCCCGGGGATGGGCTCACCTAAGCCCGGGACCAGATTGGAAAAAGAAGAAAGCGCGCCGGGCGGTCGGGTGGGCTAGTGTTCATAGAGTTAGTCTTGCAAAGAAGCCGTGTGGGGATTTGGCGTTCACTAGCGTTGGCTGTTTTGTGTACAGCATTTCTTGATTGCCCATTGTCACAAATGGCTTCCTCCGCAAGCAACGTCTTGCTGGGTAACGGAGCTCTCAATCTTGATTGCAGGTTCGAGGTTGTCTTGGAGCTGTGTGGAAGGAGGCTCGGTGGACTTGTGATGGGGTGTCAGAGATGCTGTGCAATACAAAGGCATGCACGTTGCGATGCTCTGTTGTATCGCGCAGATGCAGAGCCCTTCCCGGCCCATGATCCTGGAAACCAAGAAGTGACAGAAATATCTGTTGATGGCCTCCCGAATGCCTGGTGAAGGCAAAGCGTGGCACCGTTATGAAGAGCTGCTGGGCCGCAACGATCTGTGCTTCAGAATGTACAGCGAGAGGATACACACAGAGCGACGGTGCCGCCGTCAATAAGGTTACAACTGCAACACCTGCCATGACGACAACTGGACCAACAGAAGAAACCGCAGAAGAAAACCATTAGGGCCAAAAAGAACAGCCACAGCAATGAAATAGAAGCAGCTTAAGCATCCACAATGCGAAATGAAACGGGCGGCAATAGTCGGAGCCATGCATGTATCTCTAGTCGGAGTGGTAGTGCAGCTGCGCTGGTTGACAGGCAGCAGCATCTGGAGCAGGAATAGTAGCTGCAATGGCAGTAGCATGTGTTGTGGTAGTAAGTCGCCAGCGGTAGCAGCAGCAGGCGGCAGTGAGCTCGTGCGTCCTTGTTTTACAACAAACGCAAGATCTTATGTCAGAGTAGGCGTCTGGAACGACACCATCACAATCGCTCTGATCATCGTCTTTTTAGTCAGCATCATCGCAATCATCCGGATCTTGATCGCCATCATTGGCAGAATGATCACCATCGGCACGGCAATGAATATTCGTGAGTGTTGTTGGCCGGGCCCTTGAATTGAAATTGCACATTGGGTCGCAACCTGATTGCCGGCATTGTGTTGGATAAATGATAGATGATAGATCTGTATGTCTCACTGACACGTAGACAGCCAGAAAGTATATGATGACAGATGGAATGTAGGAAGGGCCTTGCTGGCTTGTCTTGGGACAACCATATGGAAGAGCCACAGCTAACAGTGCTATCACCATGCCTGCCACTACGACAACGACGACATAGTAAACCCGCTGTCATATAGTCATGATAATTCTGGTTCTTACACCCTGAACACGAAGTAATCGCCGGGTAGACGAGGGATTATGTGGAACGAAGTGATAAGAGCAACACTTACACCAAAGTTGAACGGGTATGGCTGCTATGCTGTCGATGCGGCAGCATTCACAGATGCTGCCAACTAACGAAAACTTCTGGCAAGGCCACTGTGGCATCACCTTGGGGACAAGTCACCTGCCCGTGCACCAAAGTAAGAAATGATTGAAAGCATCATGTCCAGGTGCTGTTGTACAGTGTGACGACCATCGCGGTCAGAGCGCGCCAGACCGAGCAGTGAGTGGAGCTTTTAGCATTACACTTGATTCCCAGCAGTCGCAGTGGAAGGTGTTTCAAGTCCCAGGCTCGCAAACTGTGGCATTAATAAGAACTGATCATTCATCAGATAAATCAAAGACTCACCAAAAAGGTGTTGCAACATGGTTTCCAAATTTGTGGGTATAGACAGATCTGGATCTACATCGACATGGGGACACGGGCTCGTTTTCCTTACTCGACCCCTCGCTCGCTCTCTTTCTCTCACTCTCCCTCTCTCTGTCTCTCTCTCTCTCTCTCGCTCTCTCTCTCTCTCTGCGTCTCTCACTCTCCCTTTGCACACATGCTTCAAACTATAAATGAATGAGTATGTGCGTATGTATACGAGTACATACTACGTATGCATGCAAGCCCCAACGGTCTTCGCCATACATACGAACATACATACATACCGACATACGTGCACACATGCATACACAGACATACACCGACATGCATGCATACAGAAACACCCGCAAACATGCACCCAAGCAACCATGTGTGGATCCATGCATGCATACATTCATACATGCGCATGTTCAAGACAGCCCTGGTGCTGCATCTGTAAAGTCATCGACTGCAGCCCTTGTCAAAATCAGGGTTCCACGGGTGCAGTAGAGTTACACAGTCAATATGAAAGCTCGGAACCGCTTTTCGATCTCTGACACTTCTCACCTGCCTGCCTGTACCAGTGAAGGTGCCAAGTGGTATGAACCCTGCCTATATAGTGCTTCAACCAAAACTCGAGCAGAATCCCGAACCGCAGTCCCTGCCACAAGCACGGAGGCCCAGCAATTTGGACCTCAAGGGTTGCTGGAATTGGGTTTCGGCTGGCTACCTTTCACAGCATCGTTCACTCCATATGCGTGTCCTTCACTGACGGTCATCATCGCCCAGCCTCGCGGTGCTCAGCGCATGCTTCCTTCTGTCGAAGCGTCAGGATGAAAGGGCTAGGAAGGCATACTGCATGTAGAATTAACAGAAGGCCGCGTGTTGCATATTGCAACAAAGAGCAGTTCCGCTTGCATACGCATAGTGCAACATAAACGCAAATGCAGCACGGTAGCCATCCAAATTACCGAGACGCTTGCACGGACATCCCGGCAGGATAGAGTCACACTTCGGCCCTTGATGCCTTAAGCCCGGTGTAGCCAGAACACCCGACAATACCTTTAAAGATCATGCAAGTTCCGCCACCATGAAACAAAGCGAACACAATCTAGCACGATAAAGTTGCACACGCCAGTCCTAGTGCAGCTGTGGATCGAATGTGTGTTACAAATTTCGTTGTTTGTGTACACTGCATACAAGCTTTAAGCAGAAGGCATGGCAAAGCCAGAGCAGAGGATGGAATCGAAAGCGAAGGGCTGAATGTGGTTCGTTGATCGGCTCTGACGCTTCGGCTCATGTTCGGCCATTTTGTCAAGTGCTGGCGTCTCAGTTCACCTTGATCCCATGGCGTGGGCGTTGACCCGTGGTGCCAGGTTTCGCAGGTGGTTTTAACCAAAGACGCCGTGATCACCTGATATTTGCAGGCTTCCCCGGAGCTAGGATAGCGAGCTTTTGACACCCTGAGGACTCAAGACCTAAAGCAAGACATAGCAAGACCAATCCCAGCACCCCCTAGTGACAGAGAGACGGTTCAAACCCGCTTGAGTCGGACTAACGGTTGCCGAAATTTAAAAAATGAACCTTGCTCCGTTGGATGCCTTGAACATTCAGACACAAGCCTTTCCTGTCTCACTCTTTTGAAAGGAACTTGCATGTCCTCATGGCAGGGTCCCGGCTCCTACAAGCTCCAGAAGTCCTGACCCAAACTGAACCCGACCTCCAAAGTCAGAACAGAAGCAGATGCTAAAGAGATTTGGTCATGCAACTTTCGGAGCCGAAGGACGCCGCCTGCTTTGAAAAGGCATGCCAAGCGACGCTGGGGGTTCGGGAGGTGGGCGGTCCCGTTGAGATGTCACGTGAAGCCTGTGCTTGACAGACACGCTTCGTTTGTTTCTCAGAAGATTCCTGTTTGAACCCGGATCTTCCGAAACACCCAGCTTAGGCCGCCCCACAATTAGACAAGCTGTTTGCCCGGACCGCATGGCGATGCCGAGAAATCCTTCGCAGGAGCCGGCTTCTTGAGTTGGAAGGTACCCACTGTCGCGCCCCTCGTACCGTCGTACCGTCTTCCATCCAGAGCTTCAAGAGAAACTGGGCTGAGGATTTCTCAAGACGTTGTTTGGACGCCGCAAAGCTCTGCGGAATGCTTCGGGCGGGGCCTCCACCGCGACCAAAGACTCCATGTCTCCGCAGAAAAGCAGGTGGGGGTTCCACCGGCACACGCGCGACTGCTTGCGACGGCGGGCTCTTAGGATGCAGGACTGACTCAGGAGTGGGGAGGTTCATGAAGGCATTTGATCAAGCTCTCCTGCAACACACAAGATATGTCATTCTGCAGCCCAGCAACCATCGATGAGCTGCACTTGCTGGCAAGACTCCCCAGGATTGAGCAGGCCCAGTTGTCGTTGGATTGCCACACCAGCGGGTGGACCGGCAGACCATGCAAGATTTGCAACAGCTCTGGCAGCAAACGACGACTTGGCATAACGGCAGTTGCAACGAATGTCCAACAGCTACTATTAAACACCACAATCCAGCGAAGAGGAATGATTGCTGCTTGACTCCGTGCCCAGTAGGTAGACTGGATCAGGCGTGTTTGCCTGGATGCGACCTTTCCCGAAGCACACCCCCCGGAAAGGTGTGGTGCGTGCAGGCGAGGGGCAACTGGTTGCTCCTGACAGCGACTGAAATAGGGTTCAGAATGGTTCAGAGCTCTGTAGGTGCAGCACCAGATCCTCCAACAGCTCTCTAGAGCAACACCGCCACATCCGAGGAACATGCGCGAAACTTAGGGCCCAGAGGACCGGCTATTCCACCGTAACGCCGCGGAAGCTGCGGCTGCAGCATGAAAGATCTTCTCGCTTAACCAGGTAGTTGATGAATGGGATAGAAAACAGGTTTCAGTCGCAGCAGTAGCAGTGCCGTCGGTGATTCCGTGATCAACATGAATTGGTTCGGGGTGAAGGTCGCGACTTGCTCTGTTAGTATAAGTGGCCGCTGAGTTAGACATTGGCAGCCTAGCAGCCCGGCAAACCATCTGCAGCACTGCAAGGCGAACACGTAGGATCCCTCTTTGGAGGCGTCTCCGCTCCGCCGGTCAGTAGAATGGTGTTGTTGCGGGCGGAGTTAGGGACCTCCCCACTCCTGGATCGTGCTCAAGGAAGCACGCCTAGCTACTGCAGCAAAGATGCCTCGTCTGCTTTGCAGCTGGTATGGCTGTTGCTTTCGACAGCGTGAACTCAGCGAGAGTTCTGGAGCGATCTCGGCGGCTGCCTCTCACGATGTCTCGTCCCCAAGAGCTGGACCCCATTGCGAAGTGTAGTGCCAGAAGCGGTTTCGGGTCGCATCATGATTTTCTCGTCGACTCGGATAGCATTGGCCGGGGTGTGCGGAGATTTGTGCAGTCATGGTCATAGGGAATACATCCAGTAATGCTAGGAACAATCAGATTCTTCAGCATGCATTGGTTAACTTCGAGCCGCCAGCCACGGGAAGCCATATTGTAGTCGTTGTGCCTTCGTTCTGTGTCAACTCAAGCAGACCGTGTACAAGCCATCCACAGCTTCCGCGTGTACAACTCTGATGTAGCATCGGTATGCATCGGTCGGGCAAGACAAGAGTAAGTCAGAAGACGGGGTCTGGCAAGCCTTTGCTGCCTCCAGAGCTTCCGTGAAGCTAGGGTGTCCTCCGGACGCAGTTACAGGTTCTCCTTGTGTTTCCGCATGCGTCACCAAAGCCTGGGTGGACTCTGCCTCATCAATGGCTCGGTGGATCTTTCGGCCCAGCAAACGGCTGAAAGTGCAAATCACGTCCTTCGACCGAAACGAGTTTCAACACCTTCGCAAACCATGCGAGGCTCAGAAGTGGCTTTACTTGGTGATTCCGTACTTTGTGTCGCGCGCTTTGGCGTAGATGGCCCTGCCTGTTCCGAGCCAGGACATCCTCCGAAAAGGCTGAGGAAACCGAAGTGCAAGGACACGCTTGCAGATCCAACGCTGCAACACCAATGCATTTGCCACAACTCAGAACTTTCGAAGTCTTAGTATTTGCAAAGAGGACGAAGACTCCAGGCTCACAGGAAAAGCCTTACGTCGCGCGGTGCTTCTGCACAGCAAGCAGCTGCATTTCAACACAGACAAAGGTTGCACGAGATCCAACAGCAAAGAATGCCGGTGTAAACTGCAACCTTTTGACGTCTATACTCTATACTTCCGATGACCAAGCTAACTTCGGTGTGCGTTGCATCAAGAGTCCAGCCAGACAGGGATCCACACAGGTAGCAAGAGGCGACACCTGGCATGAATCCTGGGCTCATACTTCCCGCAGAGATGCCAGAGAAAGCCTTTGCCTGTAGCCATGCATTTTCCAAGACGGCTCTGTGTTCTTGGAGGTCTCTTTGTGGTGAGCAGCTCGCAGCTCTCCGCCTTGCCGACTGAGCCTCTTTACCCCGTCAGGAGCCCTCTCCTGAGCTAAGACAGTCGCACAGAAGAAGGATAACTCTCGGACCATACAGATCCCGCGTTTCCAAACTCTGAGCAGTCATCCCTCGACTCGCCGATGTCTGTAAGCAATTCGACTGATAGACATCCGCGACCGAGAGTTTGTGCTGCCGACTGCAAAGCATCCAAAGACAACACGCTGGTATCAGCCACATGTGCGCACGTGCTAAAGACAAGCCGTACCCTCAAAGGAGCATCCAAAGGTGGTGGACCCGCACGTGCACACGCATTTCGTCAAGACATAATCAGCTCCTCAATTGAGCTGATCGACATTACCTCGACACGGAGAAAGAGCTTGCCTGATTGATACTACGTTACTACGTCTGCTGAGCTTTGCCACGTTCTCATCCCATCATGAGACTCATTAGCGGCTTCAGTGAACAGATGCCCCTCCGCGTCCTGCGAAGATCCGCATGTGATCTCAATCAAGTCCAGAAGCGGTGAAACGATGTGTTCTTTGAAGTTTCTGCTCGAGACAGCGAGAATCCAGTTTTAGAGTTTTCACTCGCTCAGCAGACATGCCTCACGCAGGGTTACGGTTATTCCAGGCCTAAAACGGAACTGAGTGCATGAGTTGTCTGCTCACTTAGAAAGAACCCATCATCATTCCGAAACACGAGCTACACAACTAAAGTCCTCGTAGCTTCTCCTCACACCAGCCGTGCTTAAACCAAGGACTCATCAGACTACATGGGTGATTGCAGAGCTTGAAAGTGTTCCATGTGCCAGTCTATACAGGGCTCTGTAGACATGGTGTCACGGAGACTCTTGCGTGCCGGGCGGTGGGGTCTGGTGCTGCTCTGGGGTGGCATCTTGCCAGCCGGAACTCAGCCGCTGGTCAGTAAGACCGTGGAGTTGAAGGACGGCGGGTAGGAAACGAGGGGGACATCGTCCGAATTCTGTGTACTTATCCTCTTGCAAGGAGCACCTGCCGATGCCACTGCTCAGCCTTGGCCTAACGGCCGGACAGGGCATCGGCCTCCTCTTGGCCTTCTTGGCAGCTGGAGGCCGCCACATCAGTGTGACTGGCCGTGTGGAGCTGTGGAGCTTTGTGAATTCTCTTTTGTGAGTTGAACAATCATGCTGCTTAGCTCCTTCCACCTGGATCGGGAGCTGAGGTCAGGAGCAGCAGCTCGTTTGACGAGCTCCAGGAGATCGCAGGAACGGTTGCCGATTCTGGGCTCTCGTGGTCGGAGATCTTCGTGACGCTGCAGATTGTGAACGAGGACCTAGGCTACGATGGTACTGTCATGGCGGTGGACCGGATCATGGGTGGGCTGGGCATCGCAAGCATTAGCCTGGCGCTGGTAGGCGCAGGGCGCATGCGGCTGGAAAGTGGCGGAAAGGGCACATTTAGCACAGATCCTTCATGTGCGCACAGCGACTTCGGCTGGGAGCTTTGCATTGCTGGCAGCCTAGCGGCTGTGGAGCACATGAAGTACATGGGTACCGTGCGGGCCTTCGGCGCACATGACTGGAGTGTGCGCTGGCTTCAACGCTTCTGGCCACTTCTACACGAACCTCTCTCGGCTATGCTGCTCACATTTGACACTCTTGCCACCAGCCATCGGGCTTCTGTGAAATATTGCCTCATGCGAGGAGTGCAGGTGCCCCTTGCACACAATCTGCAGACTTTGCTGTCATCAACTGTCGAACCGTGTCGAACACTGAGCTTCTCGTGGTTGCCTGCATGCCGTCGATTTTCTGCTTGAGTGTGCTTCTTGTTGTGTTGTTATTTTTTTTATTTTTGTTGTTATTATTCTTCTTCTTTTACATCGTATTCTTAGCCTGGTTTCTTCGCAAGGCATGTACTGCACTGCACTTTTTGCTCATGTCCTTTCTTGTTCGCTTCGCTTTCGCTCTTTTTCCAGAAAGTCATAAAGACGGAAGGAAAAGGAGAAGAGCTGAATCAAGTGAATGCATTTGTTTCAGGTAAGATTACCGCATTGTGCTTGCTTTGCTATCTTTTGTTTAGTTGGAACAAAGCATCAACTCAATCAGGAACAAGGTTGACCGCATACTCGCGAATCAGTTTCTGGGTTCACAACCTCCGCTGCCAGACATGCGTGAACAAGAGCTACTCCATCTCGCTAAAAGCAAAGATACGTATCTAGGTTAAGTTAACCCTTTGTCGTTACGGTCAATCTACTTCGCTCACGCTCTTTATGCTTTAGATTAAACAAAGAGCGAATGCAGCGTGCATTCTTCACCTTCGTTTCGCTCGTATTTCATGAGCGCTCAGGAATGAAGTATGAGCGGAACCCAAGAAGCCCATTTAACATAAAGCAATGTGTGAAACAGCCACGTCGGCATGTGCTTTCATGTTTGGCATGAGCATAGGACTTTGGCTGGTGTGTGCAGCCGACTCAACTGAAGGGATCCCGTTTTGCATTACGGCGAAAAGGCGTGCCACCTCAGCGTAACTGCGCCACCTGTTGCACTTTGATCGTGAGTGGAGCCGGCGAGCGAGCCGTTCTTTGCTGCAACACCTGACTTAGGCGCCGAGCCGTTGCGGCTTCTTCCTCGGCGGTCGAGGCCCCCTAGCTCGCGACCACGGTTCACCTTCGTGCAGATCACCCCGGTGCTGCCTTTGAAAACGTGATGAAGCTCAAGCACAGTGGGCTTATGACACGGGACCAAAGCAAGAAGCACAAGCCCACGCCGAAAGGGACACCTTGAAGGAAGCGAGCGCAGCCGAGCATTCCGGGTCCAGGAATCACTCTTTCTGGGCTCCAGGATTCATTTCCTGTCTAGATCCCAGGGTTCATTATTGTTTCACAGATTCTCCTTGAGTCTGCTTGCAAGGGATTCTGGGGTCCAGAAAAGAGTGAATCTTGTGCCCCGGAAAGACTGATTCCGGGTCCAGGAATCATTCTTTCCGGGCCCCAGACTCAGTCTTTTCCGGACCGCAGGACGTTCTTATAAAGTACCTTCATGGCTCCGATTGGCTGCAAGACCCGAGGCGAAGGACATTGCCGCGCTGGCTATCTCCGGAGAGCTGGAGACACGCTATGTCGATGGCGACGATGAGCGTATCCTCTCGAGCTGCAGTTGCCCCAGGACTCAACGGCACGTCCGGCCGACAAGCCGAATGACATGGCACAGCAAGCCGAGGTCGAACAGACCAAGGAGATCCAGGAGACATTCCCGCCGACGTGCCCGTGCCGCCCGCCTTCTTACGACCTGAAGCTCCTGAGCCTGCAGCAGCTGGCCATGAAGGAACCCTAGCCGAACTGATTGGACCTTGTGAGTCGGGGATGATGCCAGCATGCGCGGGATTCAGGCAGAACAGCTCGAGCCCGACCTCAATGTACCAGAGGCCGAGCGGCGCCGGAGATGGCTTGATGTGGACCCTACTTTGCGACAGATGCTTCCCTGCACGCACAGCTCGGGCACCCTACCAACGTGACTTTGAGGAGACATGGTGCCGAACTGGAGAGCCGAGCACCTAGGCTTGTGACTTGTGAATAATCAACAAGGCGTCGCCGCCTCGGGCCAAACCGGCTGCCGGGCAAATATGAGTTCAATTTCCCGCTGTCCCTGGACACCTTCTACTGTGTAAACCGCAGCCTCTTTGCCTTCTCGAACATAATTTGCGACGCTATCCCCGCTCGCTCGTGTGGAGCTGAGGAACGACGGGTGGCCCCACAGGCGGAAAGACACAAGCGAGCGGAGGCCCTGAACTACCAACTGACAGCGTGCAACCACACTTACATTGGCTTCCGCGCGGGCGCTCAGTGGTGCTCGTCGCTGGAGAGCAGCTTCGGTTTGCGTCTGAAGATGAGCTGCTCGTGGCTCACCTCATCAAAGCACAGGAAGCGCTGTGGAGCCACTTTATGCCCGTTGAGCCCGCATCTATATTGGCTTACGTGCTCAGCCGATGCAAGGAATCGAACCACGTGCACCACAATCTCTACTACCAAGTGCTTCTCCGGGCAGCTCTGCCTCCCGGGACCAAGGCTTTTGTCTCCCCCAGTTCCCGAACACCTGGAGACGGAGGCTTGCTGGACGAGATGGATACAGAAGTCCCCTCGAGCACTTCAAGAACCACAGCAAAACCAGAGGACTGGAGGGGCAACCGAAGGCGATGATGGGCCATTTCAGGCGCAACAGCCAATCAAACAGAAGTCCATCCAGAAACAGAGCAAAACCAAGACGGGTCACTAGACGTCCTTCCGTGCAAGAGCCAGAGTCGTTTCCTGCCCCCCGCGACACCAGCTATGTCACCGTCGGTCCCCTTGATTTCTCTTACAGAGCCTACGTTTGGAGAGCCCGCGATTCCTGTCGCAGCTCCATCTCCCAGCGGCGCTCCTTTGGTAATGGGTTGCGCGCCTACGTGGCCAGGCCGGGAATCACGCGAGGACCGTTATGCAGCCGCGAGAAATTTGACTCGTGCTACCCATGTTGCTCGACCACGTACGCTACAACAACCTCAAGAAGCTTGCGGCTGCCCTGGGAGGAGCGGTCGCGGACGACGAGCAGACCGAAAGCCCCGGCCACATTGCCACGAGGATCGGCAAATCGAAGCAGCAGGTCGAGAAGGAGTTCCCTTTACGCCAAAGAGCCGGCTTGTGGTTCAGGGGTGCCAAGAAGAGGGCATTATACGCTCCGATTCCCCCGCCCGCGGCTTTCCTCCGGGCCTTCAAGCTGCTTTGCGCCGCGGCGATGATACAGTGATGCGCCATAGCACTGAGCGACGCTTCAACTGCATAGACAAACCGGCTGCTCGCCCTTAGTAGAGTCCTTAGAGCCCCATAACCAGGCGTCGAGGCAACCGACCTGTTCCACGAGAAGGGCGAAGGGCTCGATCTACGGCATCAAGGATGTCGAGAGATCGTGGAAGAAGCTCTTCCGTGCCTTAAGGGCCAACCAGTCAAGCATTGAGGCCGCACTGTTTTTCTTGTTCGATTGGGACAGCCTGGTGGGAAAACTCCTCAGTCATGTCCACGACCCCTCAGTGCAGGCGAGGGCCCACAATTTGAAGAGTCACTCTGGACACTCGAGACAGAACTCCACTTGAAGGTGAAGCGGGGTCAAGAAGCAAAAGGACTGGGACATCGAGGTGGGCCAGTTTGGTGCCATCGAGGGAGTCAACGGCAACGCTGCGCAGAGCTGACGGAGGATGAGAAGTCTCAGTTCCTTGGCCTTATCGACCAGTCGCGCCCGGGTCTGATGGTCAATGTCACCCTGGCCCCACAGACAATGGGAGGCCGCTGACACGAGACATCATCGACCTCGACAAGATAGTGAGATGCTCAAGGAGACCAGCGAGGCCAAGGGGTGTCAGAAGCTCCAGCTCGAGGAGTGCGTCGTGGCACGCTTTGCCGACATCGCCTCGGCAAACTTGGACAAGATGAAATCCCAGTGCGGCTTTGTCGCGTGCCTTACGACGCCGAGCATCAAGAAAGGTCACGAGATTCGCATCAGCATCCTGATCCTCCAGACCTACAGTGGCAGCATCAAGCGGGTCTGCCAGAGCCCGTTGGCAGCAGAAGTAACTGGCTTCTTTGCAGGCGTGGAAAGCGCCGAGTACGTCCGCGAGATCCTCCTCCAGCTGCTGAACCTCGGGGTGAGGCTCTTCGACATGGACCGGCACTACCTCAAGAGCAAAATCGTTGCCTTCACTGACGTGAAGAACTCTGAGGCCCAGGTCAAGCGTGTGCGTGTGCTGGTTGGTGGCTCAGGTAAGGCAAAAGAGCTGTTGGGTGAGAACGGTTGCGAGACGAAGGCAACAGCACCTACCGCGCTTGGGTGGACACATCCCAGAAGCCCGCCAACGTGCTCATCAAAAATTTGGCTGCAAACGCGGGCCCCTGCTGGAGGCAATGAGAATTGGAAGGTGGAGGCTGGATCCCTGCGAAGAAGCAAGGCAGGCTCGGAAAGCCAAGCTAAGGGGTGCCAGCGATGAAGGGCTGGCTGTACAGATTGTAAGGCGTGCCGGGCCTACTTTGCACTCCTCAACGCTTCAGTTCGCCGAGGACGGGGGGTGAAACAGTCGCGTCGGCATGTGCTTTCGCGTTCGGCATGAGCATAGGACCTTGGCTGGTGTGTGCATCCGGCTCAACTGAAGGGATCCTTTTTGCGGTACGTCAAAAACGCAAGCCGCCCGAGTGCAACTGCGCCGCCAGTTGCACTTTGACAATGTGGCAATAGAACAATGCAGGGAACCGAAAGCGGGCTTATTTTATGTTAAGTTGGTCTTGGTGCACGACGGCCGAACTCACAACCAGGCAAAATGGAAAAGCATGCGGATTAAAGAGGATACTCATGCTGCGCTCATTCAAACCAACACAACACAAAGGAAACAAAAAAGGGTCTGCAATATTGGGACACAATGCCCTGGCAACTTTGGCAACAGCCTGGCTTCCTTTATGATCCTTTATGCTTTATGCCAACAACAGTGATAACAGATGAAGGAGCACGTTTACGCTTCATTCTTCCGCTCCACTGTCTTCGTCTGATTGATTTAAACACTGGGCTTCGCTTCGCTTTCCTTTTTGTTGGAATGCACGAGTGAAAGGAGTGGACGGAAGCACAAATAGGAGAGACTGACATGGCACAGGCGTGCATCCTTTAATTTATGTATTGCATATGTCAAGTTGGCATTTTGCCACAGAGTTTGCACAGGTGCTGAAAAACAAAGATGGCAGTTAGGTATATTGTACAGTGGAGAGATACGTGACTTTAGCCACAGATAGTGAAACAAGCAAAGCGCATTGGAAGCATGCGGTAATGAAATGAAACGATGAACGATACAAAGCAACTGACAAGAGGTGTAAATCATGAGACCATACCCTGGTGAGTGAGTCTTGTTTATAATAATTTCACATGACAAGAATTAGCAATGCTCCAAAGGTCCACGAAATTTGGGTTTAGCCGGAACAAATTCAAGATGTAAAGCCGTGTGCCGACGGAAGTTTCGGGAGGGAAAAACAACAACCCACGAAAGTGTTTTACGCTTGTCGGTACTGTAGGAACTCGAAGACACTTGCAACAAAGCTATTGCTGGAGCTTGCAGTCTGCTAGAAGCTAAGAGCTAGTTAAGGCATGCATCCCCAATCATTTTCCGTATCTCAGTACTTCGGCACCTTGACACCACCACGAGTCTCAGTTTTGAGGCGGGGTTATTCCAAAGCAGTGTGTAGGCGAGTTTATGACAAGGGGTCGCGACATCGCAGTTCGCCATCGCTTCATGCTCGGCAGAGAGGCTCAGCCTCTTAAGATTTCGTTGCCTTGAGTCGCAGGTCATCATGGGGAGCTTCGTCGAACGACCAGGACTTGAAGCCTTACTGTAGCCTGCCAAAGTTTTACCGTGCAACACCGCCTGTGAGGCTTCTTGTGCCAGACCCTCCCAGCAAGCCGAAACTATCCAACACAGGGTAGTCATGCGGGAAGCCATGCGAAGTCCTGATGCATTCAGAGGACGGCTTATTCTGTATATGTTTTTCGATGCGCACACCCACCTGGAAGCCTCGGCGGGACTTGCAGCAAACGCAGCAGCCACGACCATGGTAGATTGGTTGACAGCCATGCAAATCGCCGCTAGGCCTTTCCTGGCGAGTTTAGCTTGGGGGTACCTTTTCTTTCTAGGCCAGCTGCGTTCCTGCAAGCCGAAGCCTCGTCTGACTCTCGCTTCAAGACGTCCCCAGGCTGTGGTATTGCCTTCCAACGTTGACCGTGGGGTTTTTGCCGATTTTGTGCTGTCTGACGATCGGCCCGTGATGAAGGGGCCGCTGATCGACACGCTGGAGTTCGCGTGCCTTGGACTTGCACTTATCTTGCAGAAGCCTTGCAGATGGTGCGATGAAGGCAGAATTCCAAGCATGAGCCGAAGCGATGAGGGTTAAACAAGCTGCGAATCAACCCTATCTAATTGTCTAAGTGTCTCGAAGTTTGTCAGCCACCAAGAATCGGAATTCCACGAGTTGACAGATTCGGACCGACAGTAGAATTGACCTCTTCTGAGCTGCACCTTAGTTTTTGGCTCAGGTTCAATTCATTCATAAAGAGTGTAGAGTCTGCAGAGAATGCATCATGCGTCTTCTGATTTTGGTCCATGAGTCGCTCTGATGGGTTTTGGCAGTCGGAACTTAAGACCCGACCAACGAACGGAGCGTCGCCTTTGCGAACTTAGAGTTCTTGAATCCGTTAGCTTGTGAACGGGTTATTGATGCGAGAGCGGCGGCAACCGCGTCATCACCACTAGAGCACGAAAACGTCGGCTGCCCGTTGCCAAGTGAGCCGTGCACCTCACAGCGGCACACGAAGCCTCAGCAACTTAAGAAGTGGGAACCCCTATAATTCATAGTCTGATGCCTCAAGCATGAAAGCTTGCCACCGCGCCACAAGTTACAAGTTTGAACCTGGTTGCCACAGGTTTTGGCCGGTCGAGATGACGCCGTTGCTGCACGAGATCCTCCCGGAGGGCACGGAATGCCCCTTTGAGCTCCACGTGACTGGCCTCCGCGATTCTCTGCCCTGTCAGGGGAGGGAACATGACAACGGGGAGATGGGAAGCCAAGACTCGCAAATTCTTGCCGTCCAGACAGTGATGCATAATTATCAGCTGTGGGCATGTGGAACTACTAACTGATCTAGAAGCAGAAGACTTGGGTCTGAGTCGCATATTTCCCGTGAGACTTCGCAGGTGTCAGGCTTGCAGGCTTGAGCCAATAATAATTGCAATGAAGAGATGTTGCAGCTTTTTCGTACATTGAGGAGTGCAAACTCGCCATGAAGGATCTTCGGATGCTCGAAGAGGTTCACACGACCCAGACAGGCTCAAAAGGCTGCTCCTTGCACCTCGGCCCGAGACGTCTCCAGTTGTGTGGGTTTGCGTCGATGTTGAAGTTGTTCCCGAAATCGTTGGCTAAGAGATTTTCAGTGGAGGTGCTTGGGATGATGTGGTGTGACGTGATGATGTTCCATGTGATTCTTTCTTTGCACGAGGCCGGGCTGTGCCGGGGCCCCCCAAATCGTGTTCTCCAATGCAAACGCAGTACGTGGAGCGCCTCCCGAAGACTGCTGGTGCTCTGGCGGTTCCAAATTCGTCTTTTCCGGTACAGACTTAACATGCGGTGTTCGAGTACAAACATAACATGCGAAATGCTTCCCAAAGGCTCCCGGAGCTCACAGGCTTCCAGACTCGTGATTGTATGGATGGACGGGCGGACAACTGTGTGTCTGCGCGTGCTCCAATTCTCCAAGTCCGTAACCCTGACATGATTCCGAAGCGCGATCTTCAGAAGAGGAAGAGTTATTTTTTGACCCCACAGACACCAGGTGGTAAAATATATGTAAGTAATTTACCCTCGTTTTCGTCTCGAGCAGTCTAAGGGCTACGACGCATCCGCTTTGTACATGTCTCTCACGTCTCCCTCATCTGCTTTGAATTTCACACACCCCTAGAATGGCATGTACTAAGCTGTCGCCTTGCAGACTTTAACGAGTACACGCATTATTTCTTCGTCAATGTGTTGATCTTGTCATCTTCTGTGGTAATCGTTCATTTCACAAACCCTAATGGCATGTACAAAGCTGTCTCCTTGCAGAATTTAACAAGCACACGCATTGCTTCTTGGTCCATGTGTTGACTTTGTCATCTTCGGCGATAATCGTTCTTCCTTCTCGGAGGGTTCTTATCAACAGGGCTGCTGGTGCTCCTGCTTTTGTCGAGCAGCCTGCCAGCATCTGTTAGGTTGGAACCATTACATTGTCTTGAGCGGACTTGAGCCGCGTCCTTCTTCACTAGCAACATCTCAATTGCAAGGCATTTGTCCTTGATCGTCAGGATTTGGCCATTCAGGTGATCCTACACCCGTTTGTTGTCAACACACACCGTGATGGGAATCTTATTGCACCACTTACCGTTGGTCTTCAGGTCACAGCTCTTATTGTCGGCTTCAGTCCACAGACCGCAGCCGTTTTGCTTCTGCTGTCGCCCTGGACCAGCTGAGAAGTTCAGCTTCCAACGTGGCAGCCACCTGACGAACCTGGTTGTATGATCTCCACCTCAGTGGTGACACTGTTGCCCGCCGACCCTTTCTAAACTTTAACATCATCGCCATCACTAGTCACCCAAGCTCACTTTTCTTTTCGCAATGACTTTATTGACTTCTACTAGTACTACATTTTTGCCACGAGCCTGTGCCACTTGTTGCGTGACAGCGAACGGTGTCCTGCGAGATCCGGGCGATTACAGCTCACTAGCCAATTGAGCTCACCCAGAGCTCCTCTCATCCGTCTTCTCTCGTCTTCGTTCACCGCCTGTGCTCTCAGCCGCCTTCCTTGCTCAGATAGATGCATCCACCTGTTCAGACTATTCTTTTTGACTGACATGAATGGCGAAGACGTCATCTTGGTGTATCCGTCGCCCAAGAAACTCGTCTTCACGCATGTTGAAGTGTCTGAAAGAGTAAATCTTCCTAAGCTGATCCATGATCTGTGTCTGAAAACTCTGCGACCCTCCAAAAATCAAGTCGTCCAAACGCAAAGCGATGGTTGCGTGTGCCTCAGGTGCTCCGTTGTCGGAATCATGGCAACAGAAAACACAAGGATCAAGTTGTGGTTGACAACATCCAAGCTGAGTGAGTGTCTTGGTGATGGCAGCATTTCAGGCCTTCGGGGTGTCAACTAAGCCGTACACCGGCTTGATTAATGTAATGATGCTCCCGGTGCAATTCCGGGAATACCGCTATCTGGCAACTGGACCAACAGCTCAATCTCTAACACAGAGCAGCTGCGCCTGACAAAGAAACTTCTGTTTACTTGCCCGTGTGCCCGGGCAAAAGTTTGTGAGCTGCCCCGCAGCAATGATTGTTTATGGATGGGTTATTGAATGACTGTGTGGTTCCATGATGTTCCATGGTTAAAACGGAAAGGTGCATAGATGGATGGACGGATGATGTATTCTATGTCGATACTCAGGGGCGCATGAATGCATGAACGAATCTTTGCGGACGTCGATTCTCACTGCTACATGAAAAGCATGATACGTCATATGATATGTCGCTACCGTTGGATCAAAACGCATTCGAAACACGCGAGCTCCAGTTAGACTCTAGTTGGTTTTTCTTGGGCACAAGATTTCCCAAGTCTGGCGAGTCTAGTGCTCGAACGAAGCTTCGCGAGGCACTTGGAAGACAGCTGCAGCTCCATCGCATGCGCGAAGCCACGTTACAGAGCAGACGGGGAGGTTGCTGGCACTTCCCGATCATTGCCAGTTTGTCAGATCAATGCAGCAAAGCTTCCGGAACAGGGGCGCACTCTGTTCCTATCGATGTGCATGGGGCCTGAGTACTTTGATAAATTTTGTGCCCCTTTTCTTGCATCGTTTCAAATGGCATATGGACGAGCTCCAGCTGGATGGCACAAGCTGAAAGTGTGGTCTGTGGGCGTGAACAAGTCCCAGCTTGAGCGAGCTTCAGATTTGTTTTCTTCGTCGGGCGTGGAGTTCGAAGAGAGTAGTTTGGACGAAATGTCTCGACGCTATGCGGCAGAGCATGCTGAAGGTAGTGGAGTCGAAGGCTACCTCCATGAGGACCTGAAAGTAAATGGCGTCGACGGTGCTACTGGATGCTTCGAGTGCGACTTGGCAAATTCCGCTGAGTGCCACTGCGATCCGGGTGTCCACGATGAGAAGGCGGGCCGCAGCCCACCGTGGGCAATAGATTCTTTTACGGAGTTGGAGAACTTCAGAGCCAGAGCCACAGCTGAGGTGGTCTTCAATAACATTTACTTCCTGAGATGGGTCGTGGCACAGTGTCTGGGCCAATGCTCAGCAAGGGTTGGATGTCCGACTTCGTTTGATGCTCGCTAGTTTCTGGTCGTTTGTGTTCTCTTCACGCCCTAGCTTCTACGCATGCGAGGTTCATGAAGTTCCAAAGATACTAGAGGCAAAACTCAGTCTTAGTCTTGAACCCCATAATTGTACCCACTGCACAGTGATGCTTTCAATGCAAGCTCTCACTTTGGCCTTTTCCTTCGTGGCATGCACACACGGGCATCGGGGGTCTGGACACACCCTCCATCCCAAGCCACGTCCCTGAAGCCGGGACCTGTGATATCAGGTTGGTCTGAAAAGCAGCACTTTGCAAAATTTCGAGCCACGCCGCGCGCTGAAGCTAAGTACGGATGAACGGCACTTCCTCCAAGAATTGAATGCTACGGACGCAGTTTCAATCGTAGAAGCAGCGCCGAAATGATCCTGGAGATGTCAGCAATGAGAAACAAAGAAACGAGATGCAGAACATGTTAAACGGATGTCACTGCGTTGAACAATTGCCCCAAAGCACGGAGCCTTGGCTCAAAGGTTTGAGGCGACGCGGGACTCTGGCTTTCAATACATGGTCTTCATCGACTCGGACATGCTTTTTCTGCAGCCGTTGGACCGTTTCCTTCCACGGTGGCCGGCCTCCGAGTGGGAATATGCCTTCACCGTCTATGACAAGCATCACAAGGCTGCTGGGCTTCTTTCAGAAATCAAGGCATCGACCCTCCGAAAACCTCAGTGCAAACCCGGACGTTGTCAGAGATCGGCTCAGGTTCCATGGGGAATCAACGAGGAGGTGGCCCAAACCCGAAATGGGTTTGTGCGCTTCAACGCTGGTGTGCAGTTCTTCAGGCCACTCTGTCGGAGGTAGCTAGAAACCGAATTTCCGCCACGTCCGGTGCGCGCATTGTGTTTGGAAGCCACTGAGGGAGGGCGTCGGGCGCCATCCGGGGGTCTGTAGCAGTTTTCATTTTCGAAGCTTGTCAGGTACACACCCAGTGTTCTGCTGTATCTTCGAAACTTGGTGCGGATCACGCTCGATTTCGTCGAACAGGGTCACGTGCAGTTTGCGGATGAAAATCCGCTGACTTGGTACTTGGAAGAGTTCCTCGGAGCTTCCGGCCATGCCTTGGGTTCTAAGCACAGAGGCGAGGAAGGTTTCAGCTCCGTAGCATCAATGCCAGCAACAGACATCAAACAAAGCAGGCTTTTCACTTTTCTAGACCGCACGTGCACAGTTTCCATGTTTGCCTTTTCTACATCTTGCGCAGCCCAGGTTTAAAGGAGTAAGTCAGGCAGCAATTGCTTGGGCAGTCGGTCTGGATCACGTGCTGTACGAGGATTGTCAGATTTGCTGGCCGAAGATCCGGTCGTTGCAATTAATGTCTGAATATGGTGAGCCCTTCGAGCTGAAGATTCAGGGCCTTCCTGCCAGGCAGCTGAACCAAGCAGAATCCGTCGAGGACGGTATTCTCACCGAGGACACCTACATCGTCCACCTGAAAGGCTTGTGGTGGCGCATCTTGATCCTGAACTCAACGGCGCATCCGATTCCCACACGTTGCTTGGCTTGGAACTCTGATGCACACAAGCTGTGGACATCCCTGTATCTGGTTTGGCGGCCAGAGCACGTCGTTGACACGATCATCCGAAATGGCGAGGGCTGTCCCGCAACATCTTGGCTTGACCGTCCAGAAGAGCAGCTGGGCGTGGTTTCCAGCTCTAGCTCCGTGAACGACCGGGGTCGGGGATGATTGAGGCATGGGGCGGGCACATCGCGCACAGCTGCTGCGACGATCGTGGTTCTCTTCGTGAAGACAACAAGTCGGCGCAGGACCGCCCCAGGTGGAAGGTGTGGGTTTTGGCATGTTCTGGCACATGCAACTCCAGCGACGAATCCGGGCACGAGACCTACCTCCACTCACTCTGCTTCAAGCCGAGATGTCCATGAAGTTCCCCATTTCCTAGCTGCTGCAAGCTAGCAGCATTGGCTTCCACTTCACCAGATAGCTATGTGAAAGGGCTGGCCAGGTTGTTTCGCACAGTGTTTAACCAACCATGTCCCAAGGGCCAGCCGGGATTCACGGCAATCCCAAATCGCAAAAGCAACAGCTATGAGATTCTGATGGGTGTGTGTTGCTGATGATGATGCTTTAAGCCTCAAGGCCACGATTTAGGATCGTTCGCGGCTGTGTGTTCAGGATGGGCCGGCAGTGTAAGCGCTGTTCGCCAAAGTTCTGCTTTGGTTGGAGAGCATGCGTATATGCCGCGGATGAAATGACCCCCAAGATGGACAGGTCGAATTTGATTTAAATATTCATAAAAATAGGAGAATTCAGATATAATTACGGAAAATAAATAATAAATACAAATATTCAAAAACTGAAACAATTTATTATAGAAAAATTGAAGATATTCGAATAATTCGACCCTTCAATATCCGTAAATAACTAGCTTTTGGCCTTCAAATTGATTTATTAGAAATAAGAGAAGCGCATGAATAGAAAATAGAAATAATTTTACAAAAAAAATACGATAAATATCTTTATTTTTTTTTTGAAAAATTATTTTTAAAATAATTTTTATATAATTTAAATTTCATTTAATTATAATTCAAGATAAATATTAAGAATACTATATACCAATTACAAGCTAGATTTTAATTTAATTTGAATAGAAAAATTTATGGACTAGATGATAGTTAATTATATTTTAAGTCTAATATTAGAATTTCTTCATTTAGAATTTTACTTATATTAAATTAGATTATAGTTTAATATTTAGTTAGAAATATTTTTTTTAAGATTTAATTATATTTAAGAAGTATTAAAATATATCTTTAGGTTTAGAATTATTTCTTTAAGAATCTTAAATTTCATATTTTTAGAATTAAATATATCTCATTTAATATCATAATATTTCCCAATTTCTAAGAACTTGATTTATTATATCAAGTAAGATTATTTATTTTAATAAATCTTTTATTAAATTTAGGAGTTCTAATTTAAAAAATATATTCTTTATATAAATAATAATTTTGATATTATCTCATATTCATTCTATTTCAATAATTTTTCAAGCATATTTAAATTAATAATTCTCAATTATATCTAGAAATTAATCATATTTGTCCATAGGGATCAAAAGTCAAACAAGAGCCAGAGATTAGAAGACGGAGATCAAAAATTAGAGGACCAAAAATCGAATAAGAGCCAGAGACCAGAAAACAGAGATCAAAAATTAGAGACCAAATAAGAGCCAGAGATCAGAAAATAGAGATCAAAAATCAGAGGGGCCAAAGGTCAAATAAGAGCCAGAAGTCAGAAGACAGATATAAAAAATTAGAAGTTAAAGGCCAAATCAGAACCAGAGATAAGAAAAGAATAAAATATAATCCCAATCTTAATTTTGGCCACGATTCTAAATACGAATCAGACCTAGAATAAACCCATTATATGAAACGAACCAGGCACGAACCGAATACGAAACAGATACGAACCGATCACGAACCAGACACGAACCAAACACGAATCAGACACGAAAACCAGACACCAACCCAGACACGAACCCAAATCCGAACCAGACACGAACCCAGATCTATGCACACCCAAATCTGTTGAGTTCACCGCAATCTATTGAGTACATCCCAATCTGTTAGATACCTAAATTTTCTGCTAAAGTGGAATTAAAAATCCTTTTGGATTCTGGACTCAGGTGCTAATGAGACATCCTTTGGGTTTAAAAAATTTGGTTTTCTGCTCAAGTGCTGCTAAGGCACCCTTTTGGTTCGATCTCTTGAAGTTTTCATCGTGTTCAACTTTTTGGTGGGTTGGTTTGTATCTTCAAGTTTTCAGTGTGGTGTCTTGTCTTCTGGTGTGTTGGTATGGTGGCTTGGAGTTTTCATCGTGTGATGCCTTTTGATGTTTTGAAGCTGTTTCTTCAAGTTTTCATCGTGTTTGGTGCCTTTTGGTGTATTGGTTGGGTATCTTCAAAGTTTTCATCGTGATGGGGTGGCTTTTGGTTTGATGATTTGGTATCTTCAAATTTTGATCGTGTTAAGTGCCCTTTGGTGTTTTGGTATGGTATCTTCAAGTTTTATCGTGTTTGGTATCGTTTGGTGTATTGGTATGGTTTGGTGTCTTCAAATTTTTATCATATTAGGTATTTTTTGATATTTTGATTGGGTTTCTTCAAGTTTTTATCGTGTTGGTGCCTTTTGGTCAATTGGTGTGGTATCTTCAAGATTTCATCGTATTTGGTGATTTTTGGTGATGTGGCCTTCAGGGCTGGGAATAATTATATGGCAAATCTCATGAAAAATATATTATTGCAATGCTTAATTCGTGGTTTGTATCCGGGGTTTTGAAAGATTTTGCCGGGATTCATTTTTTGCCTTTGCTTGCCGGGAATTTAGAATTGCCGGATTTCGGGTGATTTTTCCGACTTTATATCCGGAACTTGGACGAAAAATTAAGAATCTCTAGATATCTGATCAAAACCTCCAGAATTCAAATTTGGAAGGTTTGGGGATATCTGGATATCTAATCAAAATCTTTAGAAATTCAAATTCTAAAGCCCTGGACCTAGAGATTTTGGGATTTCGAATCAACCCCTCTAGAATTGAAATTTTGAAGGTCTAGAGATATTAATTTAAAAATCTTTTTGAAGATTTAGGAAACTCTGGATATCTGGTCAAAATCTCCAGAATTCAAGTTTTGAAAATTTGGGAATCTCTGCATATTTAATCAAAATTTTTTAGATATTCAAATTTTCAAGCTCTAGGATTTTTAGATTTCGAATCAATTCCTCCAGAATTGAAATTTTGAAGGTCTGGGGATATTAATCCAATCACCTTTCTGAAACTTTGAAAATATCTAGATATCTGATCAAAACCTCTAGAATTCAGATTTTGGAGAATTGAGAACCTCTAGATATCTAATCGAAACCTGTTAGAAATTCAAATTTTGAAGTTGAAGGGATTACTAGATTTCGAATCAATATCTCCAAAATTGAAATTTTGAAGGTCTGGGGATATTAATCCAAAAACTTCTTTGAAGATTTGGGAATCTCTAAATATCTAATCAAAATCTCGAGAATTCAAATTTTGAAGATCTAGAGATCATTATATTTATTTTATAATCAAAGCATCAGAACCAGTCCTAGCTAAACGCCTTACCAATAAGCGTTTTTTCCAGCACAAAAAAACACGAAACCCTGAAAAACACGACACGCAACCACCCCCAGAACTGAACCTGCAGGGTTGTTTATTGTTTTGGCTTCGTTTGGCAGTGCTGCTCCTGTTGCGCCTCAAAGCGTGCCAGGACCTCTTCCCCAGAGCCCACCCACCTTCTCGGAGTAAACGGTGCATGCGAGTTGCAGAGGTTAGGCAGGCAAGATCTTCCGCTTGGAAAAAAGCCTCCGTGTCTCTCGCCAAACATCAAATGCGACCTGGCACGAAAGAAAACACATATTCCTGTAGAGGCAGAGGCAGTTTGGCTCCACAGCCCGACCTCCAGCTTGACGTTGGGCAGAAGCCTCTTGAACCGACCTGGCGGAAAATTACATCTAATTGTTCTTCCTTGTCAAACTGAGCAGCCGGGCCGTGGGCAGCAGCACGCCAAGCAGGAAATGCCAAGCGCGTGTGCGCGGCATACAGCCGAACGGACCCTGTCACATCTGGCATGACCTGAGCAAAAATCCTCGGGGTACTTTGCACTTCACTCATCTGCGTCCGAGGAGCGTCATCTGCGTACCTACGAAGGACGATGCATGCATGGCGCACAAATACCAATGTCACTCCAAGCGGCTAAGTTGCAGGCTTGGTCGGCTTATCTTTGCTCGGATCGCCGGCTTGATCTCGTTGAACAGCCGCTGTTTTGATGTCTGATGTCTGCAGCATCGGGTGGCCCTTACTATCGCCACATCCCGGCACCGCTGGGAGTCTGTGGCCGCTCAAGTGCCTCCCAGCACAACTTATGTCCTAGGCGAAAGCCGAAAACTTCCACGGCTCCGGACGAAGGTGCCGGGGCGCTGCGGATCTGCCCGAGTCTTTCTTGGACCTCGGCCTTTGTGCAGTGAACCCCAAGACACAGGGACGCTCAGATATGCCCGTGGCTGGGTCCGGGCACGACGTGACTCACAACCGAGGCCGCTGCGCCGGTGGAACACCTTCCGGAAAATTAGCCTTGCAGTTTGTCAGAAACGACTGCGTGTGACAGTCTCTGCCGGCTTGAAGTCCCATGCGACAGACTCATCGACGAGTGCGAACGCGACTTGCAATCGGTCACCGCCCTTTGTTTGCTTGGTGTGCCTGCTTTCACAGTGCAACAGGTATCAGTTGTCCTGCCTTTGACGAAGGTTGGGCTTCAAGAGAAGGGAGCAAGACCTGAATGCAAACAACCCATGCTGCTCACATTCTGTTCAAGCACTGTGAGGCAGTCACCTGTGCCTCTGAGTACAAGGGCGAAAAGATGTGCTCTAGATGAACTTCGCACGAAACAGCTTTGCTTCGCCTGAGACTGTCTTTGCCAAACAAACAAGAAGATCGATACTCATGTCAGCACAGTGCAGCTGAACCCACCACCCCTTGGGCCATCTTCCTGCCACACATCATTGAATTTTCGCCGCTGCCTACCGTGCAATTCTGAGTTGAGTTTCGGAACGGCTGACAGCTTCTTTCGTACTTCTTCGATGGTTGGAGATTCGATACGAACAACTCCCGCAATCGGCTCGTGGTAGTGCTTCAGACTAGATACAGATACAAGTAACTGAAAACTTTAGCAAGAAGCCGCGGATGAGATCGCACGACTGCGCTTGAGAGCCGAAAGTCAAACGCAAGACATGTCTGGACGTGTCCAACTACTCTACGAAGAAACCGGCCAACTTCGATGCCATGAGCCTTTTCTTGTCTTTCAGCGCATCTCTGAGTCTGGATGTGAGACCCGAGGCCCAAGGCGGGGTCCGATGCTGTAATCTGAGAGACGAAGGACCTCCCCAAGTCTCCAGCAAGGAAAAGCCGTCAGCTTCAAGAACCCTTCGTGCGCGTTGACGTGTACCTGCAAGTCAATCTTCGGGGCGTGCAGCATCATGCATCCAAGTCTAAGTGCTTCCAGGTCTAAGCCCCGAGCACGCACTACCCCAGCTCCATGGGCTTTATGCCATGTCACCTTGGACCCAGCATAGAATGAGCAACGAAAACTTGCACCGTCGTGCAAAAGGCAAGCAAGCCGCTGAACATCTAGCCTTTGTCATTCAGCTTGCGGGAGCCTGGCAGGAGATGTTGACTGTGCTCAACTCTCCAACGCCGGCTAGCAACATTGGCTTGTGCACCGGCTCGTTAGACTCGCTGGTCTTGCCGAGGACTTTGTCATACCACACCTGGCATGGAACGAACATTTGCTGACATCACTTCTCATGCATTTTGAAATATCCCTTCTGATGTACATCCATACCGCTCCGGTTTGCACCTCGCAGCCCTTGGAAAGAGTCTTCTCGTACACTGGCCTGGATTGTCGAGAAGGTGAGAATGCAAAAAACCTCGCTGCGGTGATTGCTGTACTGGTGCAAACCTAAGATCGTGGCTTAACCCAATCAGAAAACTGGGCGCCCAGGACAATGCCACCGCTGAACCAAAGAAGACCGAAAAGCATGACCTTGCACGCGCACCACCCGTCGAAACTTCTCGGCAGTGCCAGAAGCACCAAACGCACGCACATGCCCGAAGCCAGCTTTCCCTCGGAATTTGGCCTTCGATGATAAAGGCAACTACACGGGCAAGCGTGGGAGGAGACCCAAATGGCTTCGGAGTGTGTTTGATTGCCAAAAAACATGCCCGTCCTGCCCCCCCTCTCCAACTCGCTACGCCGTTTCGCAGTAACTTACCGTGAGGAGACGTGGAATTCATTCAGGTTTGACTTACTTGACGCCCTAGCCGAGAGGCTGGAACATCAGCCTTGTCCACAATATGCAAAGCTGGCTTCCAAATGCGTCGGCTGTGAGAAGAAGCCAGCACGCAGAATTATGGGACGATTTTGGATGCAGCTGGCTCTCGGACATTCAAAGGAACGTCGTCCGGCGCAACAAGTCTGGGATGTGAGTTTGGCGGGCGCAACTTCCGGCCCTTGTCTTGCGAAAAGGGTCAGGTGCAAACCGGGAGCGTCACTGAGGACGTCGCTTTGGACGTGGAGAAATTGAGTCAGCCGAGTCCCCACAGTGGTGTCTCTGTCCAGCCCTTTGCTGCTGAGAGTTGTTTCCGACCATCCCAACCGGCCCAAGCATCAATTGACCCGCACATCGCAGAGGCTCATGTGGACGTGGCGCGTGGCGCCTCGGATTCCGCGTGCTGTGAGCTTCACCGCGCTCGGGGTGACTTGGCGGGCTGCGAGTTGCTGATCTTGGAGCCAGAGGTAACCCAGCAGCACTAGCAGCACGAGCACTTGCCCGTGGCTCCGGACCCGGCGCACTTCCCCGTGGAGGCCGAGGCAAACGAGCTGAAGACATACTGCCACGCGGCACAAAATCCGCTTGGCGGATGGATGGCGTGGCCACGTTGGAGTCGAGGCGTCGATCACGTGCTCCGACAGACAGGCTGCTTCTGTTACGGTTGCTCGGATGGGGCAGTTGGGAGCTGACACGAGCAGACACAGAGGAGGCTCTGCGCTCAGCGTCGTTTGACCTTTCTGAATTCTCACGGGTTCTGACCGCAGCATGCCTCGCTGCTCGGCGTTGGTGCTGTGTAATGAGTTCTAGCAGCTCTGCCTTATCAACAGCACGTGCAATGTCTGCAGCAAGCAGCCCCAAAGTCAATGCCAGTGCGCGAAGCTCTGCAAAGGGCAGGGTCTCCAAGCCCTCTTCGCGGACCGGCGCTATGCGGGCAGAACGGTCCGGGGTGTCGGTGCTTTGATCCACAGCTACGACCATGTTTTTGAAGTCACAATCATGCGTTGAAGATGTAATTGCTTCTTCCAATCCTGCTGGGTACACAACAGAATCCAACACCGCCTTAGAGTGCTCTGCCGCTTGCACTGCCTCAAGGCTCTCTGTAACATGAACGACTGCCCGGTCGCCTATCTGCAACACTTTCTCTGCATCACAGAGCACTCTCCGTGGAAATATCGCCAATTCCAAGCCTGCTGCATCGTCCACACCCGGCTTCCACAAATCAGAGTCTCCAAGCAATCCGAAGACGCGACGCTTCAAGTCCGACACACTTCTGTCGGTGGGGCATCGGTGTCGCAGCTGCCTTCCGTTTGGAAACCGGAAGCAAAGCTCAACTGTGGAGTTGAGTTCACATGCCTCCTCTGAATGAAAACCTTGCGCAATATTCGCTCGATGGACATTGAGTCGAGCATGCTTCTCTTCCAGCATATGCTGAATCTTCGCTTGGCGCTGAGCTTCTGCACAAAGCCTCGCCTCATGCTCCTTTACGCTTTCGTCCATGTCTGCGGCCGGAAGGAGCTCCACGCGGACCTCGTGGTCACCGAGCACTCCGGCGTGACCAGGAAGCTTGACAGCCAACACATCATTGCCTGAGAGGTCCTCCAATCGAGCAACGACAACACCCACCCTGCGCAGCCCAATTTGAAAGTTGTTGGCTATGGCCACCTCGACCTGGATGGACAACCCCGATGTCAGAGCTGGAAGGCGTGCCAGTGACTCCTGTAAGACGAGCTCTGGCTCATCCCCAACTATTTCGTAAAAATCCTGGCTCTTAGGTTGCAGGTGGACACAGCCACAAAGGGGAAGCGACACTGCACGGACGCGCACCTGGTCGCCATCCTCCAAAAAGAGCTGCTGCATCATGCACGAGGGTAAAAGTACAACGGGCTCTTCCAGTGCAGACACCTCTGCCATTCCAGCAAATGCTCGGATCTCTTTACGGCAGTTCTTGATTTCCACGTGGAAAGCCGCCGTGCTTTGCTGCTCAGTTCCGAAGATGCGATTGTAAATGTCTAGAGCATGCCGCTGGGACAATACCACTCTACCAGGTGGAACGTCAGCAAGTTCAGGCAACACTTCTGCAGCGAGATCCAGACTTGAAGCTGGGAAAAACTCAATGCACCGCGAAACTGTGGGTAGCTTGACTGTCGTTCCGAGTCCAACGTTTCCAGGTGGCGAGGAATATGACCTCTCCGATGGGTCCAGCACAAGCCCGTCGGATGAAAGAACTGTGCAAACTTGAAGAACAACATCCACTAGGTCATGGTCAGGTCGCCAATGCATCATTGATAGCTCTGGCAAGCGCAGGATGCCAGCGTCTGTCAGAGGGACCTTGCTCGCCGCGCTTGTGAGTGCCAGGCGGGGCCGAATGCAGCACAGGACTGGCGGATGTGCGGGAAACGTGCCTGGGAAGTGAAACCTCATAAGCACAAAGTCCTGGGCTTGGGTCCGTGTCTTATGGTCGGCAAGCTGCCTCCCCAAGCGAGTCTCGCCTGGAAGGCGAATTTCGACCTCAGATGATGAAGACGCTCCGAAGTCTCCGAAGGGGCTATCAAAAGCATGACGCAAGCTCGAGCACACCCATCCATTAGCGAAGCCACATCCCAGTCACATAGGTTTTCGTCAGAAACCTGGACAGCAGCAGGTAAGATTCAGGGATTCGTCAAACCCAAAGCCGAACCAAATCATAAGCCGCGCTTCGATGATGCGTGCGCGGCCACAGAGATCTGCTGCACGCTCCGCCACACGGCCCAGAAGCTGCAGAAGATACCCTGCAGAACGGTCTAGAGCGCTTCAGATTGGAAGTTCGAGGATGCTTAAGTACTTGGGTGCTTTCGGCCCCATAACCCCATGCAAGTGTTGAGAAAGCCATTCACAGTGGTGCGTCCCCACTGAGAAATACCAGGCAAGTACACCACGTGAAGCTGTCCCCGCACGCTGTCCCTTTCTCAGTCAGGGTCAATAGGTGTTCTTTCGCAAGTAAAGGGTGCAAGCTGCATCGCCAGACAGGGCAAACAGCACGGTATCAACACTTCGGGAAACAAGTACGTGGACAACTCTGACACAGCCCAAAGCTGTCAAGGTGTGGTGTGCGGTCTTCTAGTGAAGAACTTTCGGAAGCTTTCGGGCATGCAGAGTGTGCGTGGCAGTGAAGCTTGCTTGCTGACATCCACAGGTTTGGCTTGCTTGCAGTTGGTGAAGCTACAAGCCGCGTGCCAAGAGATGCGCGCAAGCACACACACACACAGTGGGGTGCGAGCTCTGTCCCCTTCTATTATGGGGGTGAACCTTCTTGATTCAGCAAAGTATGCAGACATCAACACAGTCAAGCGTGTCGAGTCGCGACACGCATACCATCCATGTCTGACCAAGATGCGGCAAGCACCTAGTACGTAAATTACAGTATGAGTCAACCAACCCAATCGGATAAAGAGTAGCCTATCTTAGGACTTAAGCTCTAAAGAACACCGACGGGCCTCCTGGAAATTTTCGAGCAACAACAGCCTCAACGGTACACTTCTCGGACAGTGCGTGTCATCCTGTGCGCGGGGCCATCCTGAAGACAACAAGCTCGACGCACTCCCCCTCACCTGGCCTTCCAAAGGTCAGGTGACAGGAGTCAGGAAAAGAATATGCTACATAACACCTCACGGATGAGCCCCTCTGTTTCGACACACACACACGTCCTATGGGACAAAAGTCGTTTGAACCCTATTCCGATCATCTCCACTGTACAGGAGACCATCTCTTAAAGATATTCGAAAGCATCGGGTTACGACATCCCGATCGTTATCGAGAGAATCCAACAGCCTAGCAACCACCCGAAGGACACAGATCTTAGCAAGTATCCCTATAAAAGCCCAACTTACATTGGAGGTGGTGCCGACAAGTCAGACTCCTCTCAACCACACACATGCGCACTGGACCTGTATCTACTTTGGTTCCACAGTGACAAGATCAATGCCGGTACACTTAAAAGCCCTCTAAGGTAATGCCAATACCAAACCGACATTAGTCCCCTCACTCCGGAACCATCTTACGGGAGTACACTTCAAAGCATCCCTTCAACCAGGACCCAGGCGAAGAGGAACTTCACTTTCCTCTTTCGAATTAAAACAAGGCTGTTTTCCAGCTTTAGCAAACTTCCAGAAAACGGGCTGGCGATCTCTCATACAGGATACATCATCACATACTTCACGCTCAGATTTCTCGACAGCCGAATCCCTTTGCGATTCACCTCCAGGTGAGTCTCCTGGTTCAAGAGCCTTACCCTCACACCTTACACTGATCATACAGACCGCACTAGCCGGATTTATGGACCCTAGGAGAATCCAAAGAACAAGGAACAACAGTCTCCAATTCCCAGTCAACCTCAATCCGAAGGTGGAACCCGGCGAAGTCCTTCGAAACCTCCCTTGATCAATATCACGAACCCTCCTAGCTAGCCCAATTAGCCATGCGATCCCAAAAATGCAAGCGAAGACCCCAAACCCAGCAAAAATTAGAGCCGCAAATAACCCAAACGCAACACTGAATCCTACACCATCACTGACGACATAGTCACCGCTCTCAGCGTCGCAAGTGACAATTGAAACAGATCGCGCACTTGGATCAGCAACCAACTCACTTTCTGCTGCATCAGACGAGCCCCCTAGCATTTCATGATAGGCATCCCAGTCCCCTTCGGCTAAACCTTGTACAATGGTCTCAACCTCCTCATAACTCCAACCGACTAAAGGCACAACGCGTTCATCATCAACGTACCTGACGACCAAAGCCTCATGCCTAGCCTCATAATGCGCCGATAAACCCCCAATGCCCTCAATCCTATCCTCAGGCAACATCCCTCCAATGCCATGCATACACTCACTCGACGAAGAGGAACTTACATCGGCAACTGAAGGTTCAGTGGTAGAATCACTACTGTCGGACCATTCACCGTCCCCAAATAACTGATTAAATTGATCCTGCCACTGACCTGGAGCCTGCTGAGGCCACTCATCATGAGGTCCCGGTTGGGGCCACTGGATGTAGGGAGCCTGCTCGAAGCCTTGAATCACTGATTCGGAATCCTCGTCATCACTAAACGGCACCACACCAGTCTGAAGATATGCTTCGGCAGCATCAATCCAACGAGGGCCAAAAAACCAACGGGCTGCTGGACTGGCTCTAAGCTCATCAACTGCAGCGCACAGCACTGCAACCTTCAAATGCGCTGAAGTCCAACGCAACCGCTGCCAATCAATAGACCTATGACCTAAATACCCTAGAACCCTTACACCCTCAAGTGACAAGGTCTGAACCAAAAAATGCACACGAACAAGATCCCCAACTTCAGGGAACACTGGACGAGGTTCATCTGGAATCCCACAAAGATCTTCGTAAGTTGATTCGATCGCTGGAGGCTGGGCTAAAACATCATCACTTTCTGCCGAACCCTGCCCTACCTCAGCATGATTTAAAGCAAGTCCAACAGGAACCCAACCCCATCCCCAATCTGAACAAACTGGAACGTAGCACTGAATCCAGCCCCAAAAGTACTCGGCACATCTCCGGTATCCTGCAGCTCAGCAACAAAGCGCAACACAGAGCTATGCCAAAAGGCCTTATTGACCCTCCTCAAACTGAACCAACCACCAGGTGACTGTCCACTGAAGGCTAGAATCATTCCAACGTGCTGTTCCACAAATTCTCGTAGCATTGCTTCAGTTGAGAAGACATCAGACTGTACCGACACATCAAATGGACCACTGCTGCTCCCCCCAATCTGGATGCCATGATTCGAAGGACCACTGCTGCTCCCCCCAATCTGGGCGCCAAGATTCGAAGGGCCACTGCTGCTCCCCCCAATCTGGATGCCATGATTCAACGGATCACTGCTACAACTACTACCCCCAACCTGATAGTTCGGAACCGGAACACTAGTCCTAGGAGTGGAATCATCAGGGTCAACACCAGTATACCACGACGGTGCCGGTCCATAGCGCTGCATCATGTTCGGAGCATCAACAATGTCTCCCTTCACAAGTTGTTGTCGAAGCTTTGCCCTCTGGACGAATGTAAGCCCTGTGTACAATTCGCGGTTAATCAGAGCTCGTTGTGAACTCTCCCACTCCTGTTCATCAAACACATCAGAATCAGATTCTTCGTCTGTTGGGGTTACTCCTAACACACCAGGTTTCCCAGCAGAACCGGTAGCATCCTGAGCATCAGAAGTATTAACCGTTGGGACATAGGGTTCTGGAGCACTCCCGGGAATATCCTCAAGCTCTTTCAGCCCTGAAGTGTAAGCTATGCTAGGCCCATAGATTACAGCCCAAGCCCACAACAAAGCAACCACAGTGATTATTACACCTATCAACCACTGAAACATCCCATGCCCCTCATCCCTCGGCTCCAACGGTTGTGCACCTACCTTGGGAAGCACAGCTAACAAAGCAAGTCCCGCTAAACTCTCAACCTGTACCGAAGCTCCACTGATGGAAAGTCGACTGACAGCTCTAGCGGTTCCGTTCTCAGCCTCTTTTGACTCAAGCTTCAGACCCAGAAGACTAAGCAGGTACAAGATCCGGGGCCTGCTTAACGGTTTCGTTGCTAGGTCAGCAACTTGACTGTCGCCTGGGATGAACGTCACAACCAACGAACCTGCCTGGATGCGCTCGCGGCCTGCGGCCGCCCGCATACGGAGATGCCTGTTCCTCCACCCAAGGCTTCCAACCGCAAAAGCTCTTACCGCAGCTTGGTTGTCGCAAAGAGCTGAAATTACCACGTCATCCCCGATCAGCTCCTCAATGATGGCCGCAACCGACTCCGCAGCAATGATGCCAGCAGTAACCGCAACCAATTCTGATTCAGCGGAAGATAATGTTACGAAAGGTTGTTTGCTTGCTTCCCAACACAGGAGCATACCACACCAAACGATGAAGATGGCTTGACATGACCGTCCTCCCTCAGGAGCGTGTGAAGCGTCCGTGTAAAGCTCAAGGGTGCCAATCGTACGAGGAACCGGAGCATCAAGCCACCGATCCCCACTCGGCTTCCGGTATTCAATCCAAAGATCTGCAGTGCCATACAAGTACTTTAAAACCTGATAACCCTTCTGGATCACGACGCTCGGAGCCTTCACCGCGAACTGTCCAAGCTTGCTCACAGCAAATGCAATATCTGGGCGACTCTTGGAAGATGCCCAGAGTAATGCACCCGTCAAAGCCTGAGCTTCTCTGATGGTTTCAAGCTTAGCGTCGCGTTCATCTTCAGGATCACTCCATTGCGACAACGGTACTGATGCGCTATTCCGGATATCATACCTCGTAAACAATTCGTGTAGGTACTTCGATTGCGAAATCTGATAGCCTCCACCATGCAAAGCCTGAATCTCGATACCGCAGAAAGTAGTTGAAGTACCCTCGGAGATCCACTCCGGTTCCGATAGCTTCCACAGCTTCTGGATCTCGTCAAAGAGAGCCTTTAAAACAGACCGCGAGGCCAAACCCAAGAGATCATCAACATAAATGATTAAGATGCCATGCCAGCGGCCCTTTCCGTCTAACGAAGCGTCCTCCTTGACAATAAACCAAAGCGAATCATCACTGATACCCTGCTTGAGGCTGTACTTTACTCCCTCGGAGTCAAAACGCAACACCCGCAGTGACTTGTCCCGAAACCTCGCCCAGGCCAGCGGTGCCTGTCTCAAACCGTAAAGCGCCTTGAGCACCTTCCAACGGTGTTCCGCCTTTAGAATCTTCATTTCAACAAGCAAGGCCGGTGGCTT